TACTTTTGTCCAAACGGGAGCAGCATAGTATTTCTGGAAAAGCACTGACGATCTTACATGAGATCGTCAGTGCTTTTCCAGTATTTCAAGCGGCCAGTGTAGACAGCTGGCAAGTTTTTCCGCAAAATCAGATGATTTTGCGGAAAAACTTGCCAGTCTAGACACAGCCCCTGTGTGTTAAGAGTAAGATAATAGTAATATTTTTTTACTGTTTTTTATTCCTGGTGGATCTGTGTAGCCAACAAAGAGAGTCAATTGAATGTTTGACTCAATTCCTTATGCATCAGGAACAGGGTTGTTTACTAAGGTTGTGTTTACACAGGCATATGTAAAGTGCTGGCACAGCACAACAGTGAAAATGCTATTGGGTGTCCATGCTGTCAGCTATCAGTGTAGAAGCACGACCACACTTGCAGCAGCTTTTGGAGCGGTGCACTTTGAGCAGCTATCCCACAGATCACCTCTTCCTCTTCTGCTGCAGAGGCTTGTGGAAAGGTGGAGCACAGGCTCAGAGCATCCTGGGTCCTGTCCCAATGCCCTGTGGTACGTCACTTCGCATCCCAGCAACCCCTGTACTTCCATTCACAGTTGGTGCCGTCTTTCAGTTACTTTTGTGTTGTGCGTTGTGCCTCCTTGGTCTGTGGTAATGGATCCCCAGCTGTTGACAAAAATGCTGATAGGTCTCACTAACATGTTATGAATGGCAGTCGAATTATTCCTGAATTGCCTGAGGATGAATCCATGGATTGTACGAATGACACAATATTTCTTGAGGCATTCATGGAGATGCTGACCACAGTAGAGATGTCAGTCAGTGTTCCTGCTAAGATTTTCCAACCATGAGTGGATGAGTTTAGGCTTGTGCACCAATATTGAAGTCATGTGCGCTGGTTTGGATGTGTGCCACTGTGCACCCACTTTATTAACACACCTACATTCCCAGCGACTGGAGGAGACCCCACCCCCTCCTGCCATGCAGTAGGTCCAATTCCTGGCCACCGGAGCATACACCCTCCTCTGCTGCCATGTGGCAGGTCCTGTTCCTGGCCTCAGCTGCCAGAACAGGCCCTGGACCCCGCGCTATGTATCAGCCCTGGCCACGGGAGCAGGCTTCTTCCCCTCCCCCATGCCCCATCACGTGGCCATGGCAGGTCCTAGCCCCCTGCCCCAGCAGCTCACTCATCATGCTGTCTCAGCTGGCCCTGCCTGCTGCATGAGTGTTGCTGCGTGGCTCTCCAGAGGAGGTAGGTGAGGAAGAATTTTTTAGTGCACGGCTGCGCAGGTGAACACAGCTGGAATTATGATGCCAGTGTTTAAACAGTAAGCATCACCCTTACTGGTGATGCTTACCAGTTAACTAGTGGCCTGGGTGGAGGTGGGACTGCTCCACCTAGCTGGCCAACCACATTCTGCCACAAGTTGGGAGTTGGTGCAGCGGGTCTGTGCTGCAAGCTGAGGGTACTCCAGTGCAGTTGGGCCCACTATACTGTGCCTGAAGCAGTGCAGGGATTCATGGGATGCATATTCCAATTCTGGTACCAGACCATCTAACCTTTGAGTATATTAACTGCAAGTGGTTTTTCTCCATGGATCTACAGGTGCTTGTGGATGACCATGGGCATTTCACGTGCATTAATGCAGGCTGGTCTGGAAAGATGCACGACACTCGCATCTTTCAGAACATTGGCCTGTTCAGAAAGCTGCAAGCAGTGACTTTCTTCTCAGACCAGAAGATCACCACCATGAGGAAATGAAAATGCCCATTGTCATCCTTGAAGATACTGCCTGCCCTTCAGTGATATGACTCATAAAGCCATACATGGGGAGCACTGTCAGCAGCAAGGTGTAGTTCAATAACAGGCTGAGTATGTGCAGAATGACTGTGGAGTGTGTTTTTGACTGTTTGAAAGCCCGCTGGTTGTGTTTGTTTGGGAAATTGGACCTGACCAATTATAACATCCCTATGGTTATCACATCCCTATGGTTATCACCAGGGCTTGCCAAGCGGCAGTGAGCCCTGCTCGCCAGCTGTGCAGTTCTGCACTCTGCACATGCTCTTCTGGGTTGTAATCTACTTACCATGGGCGAGTAGATTACATTATTTGTCGAGCCCTGGTTATCACCATGTGATGTACCCTCAATAATATTTGTGAAGAGAGGGATGAATGCTTCGCTCAGAGCTGGACTGCTGAGGCTCTGTGCCTAGAAGCAGAGTTTAAATAGCCTGAGAACAGGGCTATTAAAGGAACACGGTTCAGGACTGTAAGGACTGAGGATGCCTTGAGGTAGCAATCTATTGCTGACAGTCAGTAAAAATTGTTGCTGGGAGTGTGGTGGCTCCATTGCTAGGGGATTACTCTGATTGGTCCATGCGCTGCACTTAGCTTTATAGTAACCATAGCTTTGCTGGGGTACGCTTGCTTGTTTGCTTGCTTTCATGTAATGGAATAAAGATTGCTTTGAAACATAAGAATTTCCTTTATTAAACAAGGTAAAAGTAGGACACCTGTGAAGCATTAAACATCTACACTTTGTGGGAGGGAGGAGAGAGGAAAGAATTGAGGCGGGCCCAGACAGTTTCAGAGATTTGTTTATGTCCATGTTTCATATGCAGTTCTGCTGTTTGATGTGCTGTCCCTGGAGGGCTGCCACTCATCACAGCTAAACTGCATGTGGATTGGAGCATTGAGAGCCTCTGGGAGTCTGCATGGGTGGAGGTTGAGTGGGCAGATGGGGAGTGTGGCAGATTTTGCCCGGGGAGGGGGTGGCAGACTGCATTTGCTGTCATGTGGCGGGAGGGGGAGAGAAATGTGCAAAACAGTCTTGAGACACTGGCTGCAGGGAAGGCTGTTAATGCAGCTGCTCCATCTGAAGTGCAAGCAGTGCCTGCAGCATGTCTGCTTGCCTCTCCATAATGATTAGGAGACGCTCGATGTTCTCCTTCCACTCTCTCCTCTTGCCGTCCCTCTGCTCTTTTGATTCTTTCTGTTCACTGAGTGCCTCAGTATGTCACACACAAACTCCCCCTGGGTTCTTCAGGGGGGGCGTTTTCTTGCCTATCAGAGTCTCTCCGCAGGCAATATTACTTCAGATTGGCATGCCAGCATCAGCTCTGTCAAGGCATAAACACAGGGTCCATTGTTAAGACACAGCACCACCCCAGCCCCTTGTAGTGAGGTCTCATAAAATACAGGAACCCCGCAACAGTGATTTCACCACAGGTGTAGGGGAATTCCTTGGTGCAGGGCCATACTATTTAATCTGGGTATGTGTGACTTGGGGAGAGCACTGTGCGGGCAATCGTTAGTGATGGCCACTCAATTTCCACAGGTAGTGTTAAGCCTGGAAGACATTTCATTGTTTAGGGTAGGGAAGCAAAGGAGGGTCCTTTACTCATCTGTAGGTTCTGTCCAGGCCCATATGTAGCTTTACGAAGTGAGCTATGGTTCCTTCCCCTCCCCCCCCGCCTCCAATGGCACAGTGGTGAGGGAATGTCAGTGTTCATGGGACAAGGAGCACAGTAGTGTTGCTAGCAAATTTACGCATGTGCCTGGCCCACAGCTGCATGACACTTTTGATGAGCTCTGAGACACATTACTGTGAAGTAAGAGATTGCATCAATGCCCTGCTCCACATCTGAGCAGCCCTGTGTTATCAACAACATACAGAACCAACCAACCCCTGGAAAGATGTGCTGAGAGTACTCCATGCATCGCTGTGCAAACAGGAAGAGGAATTTAAAAAAGAATGTGCGGAATGGGTCTCAGGGTTGGTCACCTGAGGGAATGGCTGTAGAGTTCAAACAGATGACCAGAAAGGCAAGAACAGGCATTGTGGGATGATTGCTGGAGGGTACTAATTAGGGAAGTTAGCTATTGGGTAATTGAATAGTTGAGTAACTGCATTGATTCTTAGTGGTTACTTGACTATTCTATAGTCCCCGGGGATGGGGATGAAAGCCAGTGTGCTCCAGCCCCACTTCTGGGGAGCCCCCTGCAACCTTGCACTGCTGCCTTTATCAGAAGCATGCCAGGTGGGAGCCAGTCCACAAGGGAAGCCAGTTTAAATACCAGCTCCCTGCACAGACTGGCTGCCTGCTGTCCTGTGCTGCTACCACTGATTCAGAGGCAGCAGCGTAGGATAGCAGCAGCCCCTATCTGTTGCGGGGTCTGAGCTCTCTGCAGACAAGCTACAGTGGGGAGGCAGCAGGGCAAGGGGGCAGGAAGCATCACGAAGCCAATGCTGGGGGGAGCCAGCTTTTAAGCCAGCCCCTTCCCCCCGTACCAGCTCCTGCTCCCCCCCCTTGCAGCCTCTGATATTGGCCTGCATATTTATTACTGTTGACAGAGAATGAGTGAGAAGAAAGAAGACAACCTGACTCAGTTTGCTGGGCTGGCTGTTGTAAATGAAACCTATGCAAATCATTCAATGCCACTTTTACAGACACACATTTCAGAGAGAACCTTTTAACTCTCAAATATGTCTCTAAAGTAGGCAAGTGTTATTTCTTTTAATATTATACTAAATCCTGGCTTCAGGTTTGTTTTTTTTAAATAAGAGATTATTTGAAATGAGGAAAGTCAATTTCTTGTTCTCACTGCCCTAAGGTCTTATTTTCAAAATGTGTAATAAATTGTCTCTTGCCTCTATCTTGCCTCCATCCATCTCTAACGTTTAATTTAAACACACAAAAATCTCAAGTTTGTGAGAAAAAATTAAAGTATAAAACCTGAAATCTGCTACTTTAAATAAGGATGTATCCTTAAGATAAAAACTCAGAATCTATGAGCATAATTTAAATATTACTTTTGAAATCATTGTCTAGGTTCTGTATTGCACTCTGTAAGCATAATGATCTCAACTGATACATTGTAGAATAGGTCTTTTGACAACATTTTTTGATTCTGCTTTTGCTATAACCTTTATAGTTAACATTTTAAAAAATTGATATAAAAATGATAAACTGCAGAGATACTATCTGTATTTTTTTTAAATAACAGGTACCAAGTGCTGGCATTTGCAACAGATGCTGATGAAAGAAATGAGACAGAGCAGCAAAAACTAAGCTCTGGAAAGAGGCTTGTTGTAAGACTTGTTTATTTTACATACTTATATACTGCAGGGTATAGTTTATTAGAAAGAGAGAAGACTGACAGATAGTGACAAAACAGTGTTTTAAAGTTGTTTAGGTCCCAATCCAAATGTAATAAGTCTTTTCACTATTTTAACTTCTGTATATTCCAGACTTGAATACGCTTGGATTAGGACCTAAATATTCCCTACATTCTCTGTTTTAAGAAAGGAGAAATTAACTTGACAGGATTCATTTTAATCTCAATCAAGACAGAATGTGTTGAAATGTGTGTAAATGAAACTTTGCCTAAATTTTAAATTGAAAGGTTTCTTTTAAAGACTTGTTTGTTAGATTTCTAAAATGCTCCCTGTTACAGTTGAGCACGCATGCATGTTGCTAAATGAAACACTATTTCTGCAGGAAAAAGACATGTTCCTAATAGCCAGCTTGTCCATCTCCCAGAGCCCAACTTTGCAGTGTCAAACCTGAGGAATTAATGTTTTACATTGTGCCTTAAGTCTAAGATACTCAGGTCATTTCAGACTAGTTGTGAAAAGCATTCCCTGCCTCATTGGTATCACACTGATAACTGTTTGATCATTTAAGATACTTCAGAAAATACTAGCTGAAGTAGTTCAGTTTACTTCATCTTCCATTGTGGCACACCGGGAGAGAAGTGGACTCTGAAAGAGCCAGAACTCAAATGTTTCTCTACTATATACATTAAAGTCAATAATTTGAATTATTCATGGAAGGAACTAGAGAAGCATCTGTTGAATAACAAGTCTCTGTTCCTGTTGACTAACACCATTAAGTAAGTGATGACTGTATTCTGTAATGTGTGGCATCAAAGATCAGTCTTCAAATGTAACCCCACTTGGAGTGTGTAGTGAACAGGAGTGCTGACCAGCCCCCAGTGACTAAGAGGTTAACTCAGATAGCTAGCAAAGGTTTTGGCCAGGGAGCCGGGAGAACCAATTGAGATAGAAGGTTGAAATTTGAATTGGATATAGGTTCCCTTCCTGCTTTCTTTGTGTGGGAGAGAGAAACCAGGAGTTGAGAGACAGAACCCAGGCAGGACTACCATGCCCCCATGGAATTCCAGGCAAGGGAGTAGACTGAACAAAGAGAAGATTAGAAGTAAGTAACAGAGAAAAGTGAATCTAGTCGCGTTTCAGGGTAATTTTTCTTCATTTTGTGGTTTGGTTTGAACTGCTCTGTGTGATTCTATGCCTCTCCTCTCCCTTTACCACCTAAGTATTGTGCCAGAGATTTTTCTCTGTTTTAATTTGTTTTCCTTAGTTGCTCTATAACATTAAGCAACCAAGTATGCTTTATCAAGGTTATCATTTGTTTTGTAATAAAAATCACTTCTTTTAAGGTGATGATTTGATTCTTGTGTCTTGGAAAGTCTATTTGTGTGTATCTGCATACCTCTGACTCAGGGGTGAGCTTACCAGAGACTGCATCTTACCAGAGACTACAGCTTGTTTTTTCTCTTTTAGTTTTTCAGGCTCTTTTGGGTCAGAAGACCCATCTTAAGTGTTCACCACCTGTTTTAGGGATAAAAAGCACTTGATGGTGGCAGCAAATTCCCCAAAATCTGTGTATTGTGATTCTGGGGGGAAGTTTTTGATAACCAATGTCTGTAGAGGCAAAGTTGTTTTTTCTTTTGAGCTCTTTGCGGGCCTTTATCTTCTTCACTCTGAATGCCAGAATAGGGAACAGCCCTGACAGTGCATTACAATACACTTTACCATAAATAATACCAGCTGATATTGTATCCACAGTAGGGAAAAATGCATGACTAATGCAGTTGATTCTGCCTATGAAAATAAAATGAAAGAATATTATGTCCAGGTTGCTGAATATGTCTCTAGGAATGCAGAGAAAAATACAAGTTGTCCTTTTTTTGGGGGGGGGGAAGGGTCTCCAGAACTCTAAAACATGCTGAAAAAGGAATAATTACCAACAGTTCCAAACCTTGTCTACTCAACAGCTGGTGGTGTAGTTACATTGGACAAGGACATGAGGGATTTGCATCTTTAAATTAAGAACAAATAATGCTAAGATTGAACTGGTCCCATAAATTCAAATCCTTGCGTGCTCTTGCATAGGACTTGAAGTACAGCTACAGTAATTGTTGAAATAGGGCTATTCTTGAGGGCCGAAAAAAGCTGTGAACTACACTGTGAGTGTTCAAAAAGACTTTTGTAACTAGGGATAAGAGAGATTAACAGGTGATGAGTACCAGTTCCAGTTAACCTATGGGTGGGCTGCAGGCAGGGGTTGCTCTGGGCCTCTGGAGCCATGGGCTGCTCCAGCCCAGCTTCTCCCCTTAATTGGTTAAATGTGAAGTAAACTTCCATGTTAACCATCTAACCAATTACATGAGACTTTACATCCCAATTTGTAAATATCCCCAACCTTTGATTGATGCCCCATCTCCTTGTTGGTATTTGGTAGAGCTTTCTGAAAGATTATGAATTCACCTGTGATTCCACTGTAAGCATGTCTTTGTGGATCACAACTGAGAACACCAAATTCATGTCACACTATTCAGAATAACGTAAAACATACCCCAAAATGCTGGTGTAATGCTGGTTACGTTACCTTAAAATATACCAAACCAGCCAAAAAAGTCAACTTCTGACTCACCACACGGGTTAACAAGAAGTTATAAAAGTTGTTCCTGAGGCATTCCAGTCTTTGTATGAACCCCCCCCCCTCCAATTATCGGGTTCAAAGATGAGTGGTTCTTTACAATCAGCCTCATCAAATAGAATCTTCTGATCTCAAAGGACCAGCCACACACACAATATAAGTCAGATCTTGTCAAAAAATCATGCTGTTGCCAGTCCTTTAGTATCTAAAATATAGAAGTTTATAAAAGTAAAGAAAGGCAAGAGTTAAAATTGGGTTAAAGAATCAAATACATGCAGTAATTGCAAAGTTCTTGGTTGAGGCGTGGAACAATGATGGAAATAACTGCTAGCATAAGTCAAGTCTCTGGTTGCTTCCAAATTATTGAAAGGACCTTAGTTGCTTTATTAGAGTGCTCCCATAGTCCAGAAGTTTGATCAGGAAAAAGGCTGGAGCAGGAAAGAGGCAAAATGGAGATTGTTTTTCAGGGCCTTATATAGGTGTGGAGGGAAATTCATTATTTCAAACAAAACCCTCAGCACTAGTGGAAAATCACAAGGGTAAGATGGAGTCACATGCAAATCATATATCCACGCCTGGTTTTGCTTAGTCTCGGTAGAGGCCATTCTTCATGGGAGAGTCCAGCTGGAAGTTTCTTCATGGGTGAATCCATTTAGTGTAGATGGGCTCTTCCATAGTGTGCTAAGTGTTCCTTGATGAGCCCCTGAGTTTGAATGGTCCCTCCAAGATGTGCTGACTAAATACCTTGTAGGTGTTATCCCATGAGCAAATATTTGAAATACAAGTATAAAGCCAATACTCATAACTTCAAATACAAAAATGATACTTGCATACAAGTAGCATAATCATATTCAGAAAATATTTTTATAGATGTTTTACTTGCCACATTCTGTACAAGATTTGTTGCAACAGTGATTGCAACAATGATCTGTATGGTCATATTTTAATCGGATAATGTCACACCCACTACCAGTATGTTGAAATGTGTATTGAATGAAGTGTATTATACACATAACACACAATTTAACAAAAAGGGAGTATAAATTTAAATTAGACACTAAACTTGTAAAAGTAATTGAAGGATATATGAGGGGAATATCAGATAATTCTTGGTTGTAATCTTAATGGAAATCTGAATCTATTAAATTAGCCAATGAAGGTACTAGAATCACCAGAGCAAAAATTTTAAAAAATCAAACACTTTTTATGGAATCTTTGTTACCGATGCAATATGATGGGTACCTGATCCCAAGAAAGAAAGAATGTGCTGAAAAGTAGATGTTGAAACATAAATGCTCTATAATCATATTTATTGTTCAAAAATAAAAACGCATATTGTCCAAAATGAAAAAAAGCTTTGAAATCTGGAAATCAAACAACACAAACATTTTTACTTTACTACTAACTAAAGTCTACCACCTTCTTTGCATCTGCCCTTAGATAACGGTTTATTTTATTTTTATTTTTAGCATTTTAAAATGGAAGACAAGGGTTTTTGCCTCAGCTCTACCAGTATGTTTGTCAAGGAGGTCATTCCTCAGTGTTTTGTAATCAGAGGTGGACAGTTGCGTAGCAAAGCTGTGAAATACAGGGATGGATGAACTGATAATTTTATCGGTTTTAGAAGCCCAGCTCTCCTGTTTAAACCAGCTTGACATCAGTCAAGTGTTTGTTTAGCACATTTGGATTGATTTGGTTATAACTTTGCACAGGAGTTAATAAGCAAGTACATGAAACTTACCGTTATCTAAGGGCAGATGCAAAGGAGGTGGTAGACTTTAGTTAGTAGTATATTAATCTTTGTGTTGTTTGATTTCCAGTTTTCAAAGTTTTTTTTCATTTTGGACAATACGCGTTTTTATTTGTGTACAATAAATATGATTATAGAGTGAATTGCATATCATGTGTTTATGATTTATTTCATAAAGTATTTGTTGATGTTTTCTTCTCCTCCTCCCAAGTGTTTTCTTTTTTGAATTCAGGAAGTTACAAAATTCCTGAAAAGAATATGCATCTAAAATATAAAACGTTTTATCTCCCTTCCCACCACCCCTCCAAAAAAAACCCCCAACCCTCCCCTGATTTTTGTGTTTTCACTTACGTTGCTAAAAATTCATTTGGTTTGATGTAGACTGAATTTGCTTCTTAAGTTCTTTTACACAAATAGCTGTTAACTGATCTTTGGTTATGATTTCTCTTTTGAAGATGGATTGGGTTTTAAACATTGGAGAACAAGCATTGGATGTATGCGTGGTGTCCTTTAATCAGACCTCCTCAGTTTTTGTGCTTGGTGAGAGAAATTTCTTTTGCCTTAAGGATAACGGTCAAATTCGATTCATGAAAAAACTTGATTGCAGTCCAAGTTGCTTCCTTCCTTATTGTTCAGGTTTGTAAAAGAATAATTCATCTTAAAATCTTTTAAGTAGTTACATTTAAAATTAATATTTTTTTTCATTAGGAAGATACCTTCTTTTAAAAATATTGTGGATTAATATAAAAGCGTGTGTAGAATTCAAATTGTACCCTACGTTTTGTATCTGAAGTGGATATTTTTTCCAAGAACAGAAAGAATAAAGTATTTTAAAATGTGGGTTCTATTTGCTTTTTTTCTTGAAAGTTACTGACAGAAAAATAAAAAGAACAAGATCTTGCCTGGATTCATGTTTAAGGCATGTAAGGTAGGGGTAGAAGAGAGAGCAAGTCCATAGAGATTCAGGTATTCAGGCTCATTGTATGATACCTAAGTGCAGCTGAGATTGATTAATTTTTCAAGGCTTCAAATGCAGCAAGAACTCAAGGAAGTCAGGGGTCTTCTAAGGACAATTAGAAAAAGACCAGAATTAAGAATCTATAGTACCATTTTGGTACCAGACTAGCACAGAATAAGTTTTAACATCTTCATATATAGATTAGTTAATTTAATTTTTGCAACAGTCATTTATATTTTACTTTCTATAATTTTTTGTTTAAGCATGTGATAGTCTGATTGAAATTACTTAACCGATGGGTATGTCGTGCCATGTGTGTCCAAGTGCACTCATGGTGGTGATGACAAATCCATTATATTTTACTTTTGGGCATTCTAGGGCTTGTAGTACTAACGTGTATGACTGGTAGTTTCTTCTGGAAGTCACTGAAGTGCATCCAGCATTTTTTCCTTTGACTTTCTTTCTGTCTTTGTCTTTCTCCCTTTTTTTGTAATTGGTGTTCATGATTAATCACATATATTTTTGGTATTGTCTATGTAATTACCTTGATTACTTTTTTGACAGCTTAATAGTCTATAAATTAAAAGGAAAAAAATCTGTTCACAGATATGCAATAGTGACTTATCCATCTCTTCCCATTTCCCCCTCCTAGGAAAGGGAAAATAATGTGAACCTGTAAGGAAAACACTTGCTCATGAAAACATCTGTGTTCTTAAGACTGTTTTTATGTTTTTAACAGTGTCTGAAGGAACAATAAACACTCTGGTTGGAAACCATAATAACATGTTGCATGTTTATCAGGATGTGACATTGAAGTGGGCCACTCAGCTTCCCCATATTCCTGTAGCAGTTAAAGTGGGCAATTTACAGTAAGTAACTTTATGAAAGTTTTTCATTTTTTACGATTTATTTCTAGCCCCCCCCTAAAAAAAACCCACCCCAAACCCTCTACAGGTGCTAATAAATATTTCTGTAGCATTTAACAAAAAAGGGAGTTTATAAAAGGAAAAATATAGCCTTTGGGTATGTTGTATGGTATTTTCACTGGACTAATTTATGCGGCCGGTGACTCTGATAAATTTGGAATATTTTTGTTCAAGTATTAGTATTAGTTTGGTTTTATATTGATATAAATAAACGCAAAACTTGGCCTCTGTTTCTGGCAAAATAATTTCTTTTGTGAAAGAATGATAGATCGGTCAAAGATTTCAAGAGAGTACTTTGGTCTAGTGCTATGTTCTCTGAGGGTAGTCTACACTACACGGCTATTTTGAAGGTATTCCAAAATAGCTACCCTGCATCTACACAAGCCAACCGGTATTTCAAATTTTTCAAAAAATAACCGGTGTGCTATTTTGAAATTTGGCGCTATGTAGATGTGCCAAATTTCAAAATAAGTTATTTCAAAATAGATTTGAAATAAGATACGCAATTTCCGTAGTGCAAATTGTGTATCTTATTTTGAGTTTAGGGTGCAGTGTAGACACACCTTGAGAGAAGACAGTAGGGAGTCTCTATGGGAATTTATTTATCATTAGTCTTGTTACAGCTGAATTTTAGAGGTCTTGTGAAATTATTATTATATTCTAAAGGTGGTTTCTAAATTAATTTAGTAATCTGTTTAAATTCTTTAAATTTACATTCATAGCACAGAAAGAAACTATGATAGTATTGCATGTATTTGTTCCCTGTCACTGGCACACAGCAAACACAAGAAAAGGGGAAATTGTTGAGTTCCTTATTTCTTGACTTATAGGTTGCATTTTTCACAAGTGCAAAGGCTCATAATCAAGGGAAAATGCAAAGCCTGACTAAGTAGTTTCCTCATTAAGATTGATTTTAGGACTAGAAATCTGTGAAGAGGGCTGCAAAAGTTTTTTAATCCATGGTTACGTAAGGATTTTTGCTATTTTTTGTCTTTCATGAATTTTGAACCCTCAAGATTTTGCTTTTAGTGAATTTTTGAGGAATCGCTTTTTCAGATTACAAGTATACTTTCACATCAATATTTTACGATTTTACATATTCAAAATGTCAGTGCCTGTCATTTTACTCAATATTGTTTTATGGAAAAAATAGAAAGGTATAGAGCAGCAATCACCCATTTATAATATATACAATATATACATAGATATGAGAACATTCACTTGAGTACATGAGTTCAGACAGAGGTGGGAGAAATAAGAGGCATATATGCACGTTGATTTCACCTTCAGAAGCAGCATAGGATCTGTATGAGGATCTCTATCATGTGGTTGGGTGGTTAATGGATGTAACTGAAACTTTGAAGTTTAAGGATGCCCAATGGCTTACCAAATCTTTTCTTTAAGTGGAAACAGGAAGTGGTCCAAATTAAAATTGACTTTCATTGCTTTGGAGCTGTTCTCAGAATGACTAGGCACTGGAGGATCCAGAGTAAACCCTAAATTATGAGAAATTCTGATTACTCAGCAGAGCTACAGATGATTCAGTGTCCTTTGAGGGAGGCAGTTGGCCAGGATATCACGTCTGCTACTCCCATTACTGCCCTTACACCAGGAGTGTCTCATCTTCCTTTCCTTTACTGTCCATATAATACAGAAATATCCCAAGAGTGAATCCAGTCTGGATTAAGCCTGTTTGTTTAAAACATAATTTTAAGAAACTTATAAGGAACAGTTCAAGGCTAATAACAAAATGGAGGTTACTTTTCCCACCACCATTCCATGGCATATCCAAATTATTACTTCTACTGTGATGACCAGTAGAAGTAATAAATAATCCACCTCACTCCAACATTTCTCATAGTTGAGATACACAAGTAAAACATTCTGTAAGCCACAAGTAGTCCATGTGTACACACACACACACACACACACACACACAGTAATTACTCATTTAACATGTGCCCGCTTAACACATTTTCGTGATAGCACGATTTTTTTTGGGAACGTTTTTTGAATAACATGACCGTCCCCGAAATAACACTGTCTCCCCAGCCAGCCTGTTGCCGGCGGCTGCGCGGAGCTTCCCCCACCTCCCTGCAAAGCGGAGGAGGGTTCGCCACTCGCTGCGCCAGGGAATGAGTGCAGGTCTGGCAGTCCCCTCACAGGGTTGTACTGTACTCCCAACCCAATCCCTCTCCTCTCCTTTCCTTTCCTCTCCTCCCCTTCCCAAGAGCCAAACACCTCCTCTCCCTGCTGTAACCCAGTCTCCTTTGTCCCCCAACCTTATGTCCCGGTCCTGGCTGCTAACAAGTGCAGGCTGGACACCCGAGCACACATGCAGCTCTCAGCAGCTCCGCCAGAGAGCTGCCGACTGGAGCACTTCCAGATTCCAGCTGATGCCCTATTGGGAGTTTTACTGTACTGTACTGTACATATGAGCAGATGCATACACTGTACATATGGTCACAGCGCTCCTCCGCTCACTTACATGTTCATCTTGTGTTAACAAACCGCAACGTCTTGTACTGAATTGTTAGATACTGTACTGTATCTTGCTGTGTATTACCTTATCATGAGTGGAAAGCGTAAGGAAAGTGATACATCTGCTTCTGCAAGCAAGAAGCATAGAAAATCGTTTACATTAGAAGAGAAACTTGAAGTGATTAAGTGAATTGAAAAAGGTGAACGCAATTGTGACATCTCCCGCGCTTTGAATATGCATGTGTCTAGTGTGCACCCAATAAGAACATAAGCAGGGCTCGACAAATAATGTAATCTACTCGTACATGACGAGTAGATTACAACCCGGAAGAACCGGCGCAGAGTAAACTGCGCATGCGCAGAACGCAGAATGGTGCGAAACCGTATGGCTGGTGAGCAGGGCTCTTTACTGCTTGGCGAGCCCTGAACATAAGAACGGCCGTAGTGGGTCAGACCAAAGGTCCATCTAGCTCAGTAGCCTGTCTGCCGATAGTGGCCGATGCCAAGTGCCCTGGACGGGGTGGACCGAAGACAATGATCAAGAGATTTGGCTCCTGCCATCCATCTCCAGCATCTGACAGAGGCCAGGGACACCATTCCAACCCCCTGGCTTACTAACCTTTTATGGACCTAACCTCCATGAATTTATCTAGCTTCTCTTTAAACTCGGTTATAGTTCTAGCCTTCACAGCCTCCTCTGGCAAGGAGTTCCACAGGTTGGCTATGTGCTGTGTGAAGAAGAACTTTCGCTTATTAGTTTTAAACCTGCTGTCCATTCATTTCATTTGGTGTCCTCTAGTCCTTCTATTATGGGAACTAACAAATAACTTTTCTTTATTCACCCTCTCCATACCACTCATTATTTCATATACCTATATCATATCCCCCCTCAGTCTCCTCTTTTCTAAACTGAAAAGTCCCAGTTGCTTTAACCTCTCCTCATATGGGACCCGTCCCAAACCCCTAATCATTTTAGTTGCCCTTTTCTGAACCCTTTCCAAGGCCAAAATATCTTTTCTGAGGTGAGGAGACCACATCTGTACACAGTACTCAAGATGTGGGCCTACCATAGTTTCATACAGGGGCAGTAAGATATTCTGTGCCTTATTTTTTACCCTTTCTTAATAATTCCTAACATTCTATTTGCCTTTTTGACTGCTGCAGCACACTGTGGACGTTTTCAGAGAACTATCCACGATAACTCCAAGATCTCTTTCCTGATTTGTCGTAGCCAAATTAGCCCCCATCATACTGTATGTATAGTTGGGGTTATTTTTTCCAACATGCATTACTTTACACTTACCCACATTAAACTTCATTTGCCATTTTGTTGCCCAATCACTTAGGTTTGTGAGATCTTTTTGAAGTTCTTTACAGTCTGCTTCTGTCTTAACTATTTTGAACAGTTTAGTATCATCCACAAAGTTTACTACCTCATTGCTTGCCCCTTTCTCTAGATCATTTATGAATCAGTTGAATAGGAGTGGTCCTAGGACTGACCCTTGGGAGGCACCACTAGTTATCCCTCTCCATTCTGAAACTGTACCATTTATTCCTGCCCTTTGTTTCCTGTCTTTTAACCAGTTCTCAGTTCATGAAAGGACCTTCCCTCTTATCCCATGACAATGTAATTTACAATCCGTGCCCAAGCTGAGAAAATTAAGGAAAGTTGCAAATATGCAACACCAGTAAGTGTGAAAAAAGTTGTTCGTACACAATCTATCCTAATGGAAAATATGGAGAGGCGATTGTCTATGTGGATTGAAGACCAAACACAACGAAAGATGCCAGTGAGTTTGGCTGTTATTCAGGAAAAAGCCAAAGCTTTATGGCTGTGTCTACACTGGCCCCTTCTTCGGAATAGCCATGCTAATTTAGAACTTTGGAATAGGGAAATCCGCGGGGGATTTAAATATCCCCCGCGGGAT